AATGGGGCAGAAAGGGGGGGGGTGGGAGGAAAAGGGTGGAGGGGGGGGAAAAAAGAGAAAAGATGGAGAAAATGAGAAGATGGTGGGGAAAAGGGGAGAAAATGGAGGAGAAGGGGGAAAAACTGAGGAAAAGGAGGAAAAATTGAGGAAAAGGAGGAAAAATTGAGGAAAAGGAGCAAAAACTGAGGAAAAGGAGAGAATATGGAGGACAGAAAAGGTGAAGGAGAAAGAGAAAAGTGAAGGAAAAGGAGGAAAATGGAGAAAAAATGGGGAAAAAAGTGGAGGAAAAAAAGAAAATATTGGGAAAATGAAAAAAAGGTGGAGAAAAGGTGGAATGAAGGTGAAGAGATGGAAGAAAAAAGTGAAAATGTGGAATAGAAAGCAGGTGGGAGGAGGGAAGAAGTGAGAAAAGATGAAACAGGAGAGAAAATGGGGGGAAAAGGAGAAAAAACGGGAAAAATGAGATGAGAAAAGTGAGGAAATAATGGAGAACTGGAGAAAATATGGAAGAAATGAGAAAATTTTGGGATATAAATGAGGAAATGTTGGGGGAAAGAGAAAATGCTGGAGAAGAAGGGGAAATGTTGGGGAAGAAGAGCAAATATTGGAGGAGAAAAAAGAATATGGAGGAAAAAGGGAAAAGATTGGAGAAGAAGAGGAAATATTGGGGAAGAAAAGAGAATATTGAGGAAAAAGAAAACATGCAGGAAAAATAGAAACTATTGCAAAAGAAGGGAAAAGTAGGAGAAGAAGAGAAAATATTGGAGAAGAAAAGAGAATATACTGGTGAAGAAGAGAAACTACTGAGGAAAGTAGATTATAGAGGAAAAAGAAAATATAAGGGAAGAAGAGAATATGTTGGAGAAGAAGAGAGAATATGGAGTAAAAAGAGAAAATATTGGAGGAGAAGAAAAAATGTTGGGAAAGAAAACAGAATATAGAGAGAAAAGACAAAGAGGGAAAAGATAAAAAATTGGAGAAGAAGAGCAAAAATTGGGGAAGAAGAGAAAATATTGGAGAAGAAAAGAGGATATGGAGTGAAAAGAGAAAATATTGGGGAGGAAAAGAGAATGTAGGGGGAAAAGATAAAATATTGGAGAAGAAAATATTGGGGAAGAAGAGAAAATATTGGAGAAGAAAAGAGAATATGGAGTAAAAAGAAAAAATATTGGGGAAGAAAAGAGAATATAGGGGGAAAAGATAAAATATTGGAGAAGAAGAGAAAATATTGGGGAAAAAAACAAATGTTGGAAGAGAAAATAATGGAGAAGAAGAGGAAACGTTGGGAAAGAGAAGAGAATATAGAAGAAAAAGAGGAACTGTTGGAGAAGAAGAGAGGGAAGATGGAGGCAGCCGTGTGGGCGCGTGCCAAGGGAGGAGGGCAGGGGGGGGCAGGGGCGGCCCCACATCCCCAATCTGCCGCCGGTGCCCCCCGCCCGCCGCGGGCATGCAGGGCATGGAGCTGTGCGCCGTGGCCGTCGTCATCCTCCTCTTCATCGCCGTCCTGAAGCAGTTTGGCATCCTGGAGCCCATCTCTGTGGAAGGTAACCCCGGCTCTCCCCCCCCCACCACCACCCCCCCAAGCCCCACGATGGCACGGAGGTGGATTTTGGGGTGCCCGCCCCACGCCGCACGTTGGGGGATGCTCTCTGCGTTGGATGCGTGGGATTTTGGGGTGGTTCTTTGGAATCTCCCTGGTGGAATGCGGAGGTTTTGGGGCGTCCCTTTGTGCCATGTCATGGCCCTGCTCTCCCACCGCACTGTGGGCTGTTGGGGGGCTCTGAGCCCATCTCCGCCCCTGAGATAGCACAGAGTGGACCCCCAAACCCACAGGGACCCCTGAGACCCCCCATGATGGGGCGTCCATACCCAAAAGCCACACATGGGGGTCCACAGCATTTATCTCCCCTCCCCGTTCCCATCCCATCTTCCCCATCCTGAAGTTCCTGCTCATCGCTGAGCTGCTCCACAGGGGCTTCACGGGGCTGAAAACATTAATGGGCCATCATTTATTAATTACCTTCCGGCAGCACGGATGGCCGGGGCGGGGGCGGCCGGAGGATGCGATGCGGGTGGGGACCTGAACAGGGGCTGCTGGGGATGCTCTACAACGTTCCAGAATGCTTTGGGATGTGCTGGGACGCTCGGGGATGATTGGAAGATTCTTGGGGATGCGTTGGGATGCTCTGAGATTCTCCAGGATGATCGATCCAGGATTCGCCAGGATGCTCCAAGATGCTCTTGGGGATGCACTGGGAAGATGCAGGATGCCTGGGGTCAATCTGAGATACTCCAGGATGTTCCAGGATGCTGCAGGACGCTCAGGGATGCTCTAAGATGCTTCAGGATGCTCAGGGTTACGTAGGGAAGCATGGGGATGCTCAGGGATGCTCCAGCATGCTGCAGGATACTTGGAGATGTTTGAAGATGCTTCGGAATGCTCAGGGATGCCTTGGGATGCTCAGAGATGCTGCACGATGCTTTGGGATGCTCCAGGATGCTGCAGGATGGTTGGGGATGCTCTGGGATGCTTTGGAATGGGCAGGGATGCTCCAGGATGCTCTGGGATGCTCCAGGGTGGTGCAGAATGCTTGGGGATGCTCTAAGATGCTCCAGGATGCTCAAGGATGCTCCAGGATTCTCAGGGATGCTTTGGGATGCCCCAGGAAGCTGCATGGTGCTTTGGGATGTTCCAAGGTGCTCCAAGATGCTTTGGGATGCCAAGGGAAGCTCCAGAATGTTTTGGGGTGTCTGAGGATGCTCAGGGATGCTCTGACATGCTTGGAGATGCTTCAAGATGCTGCATGATGCTTGGGGATGCTCTAAGGTGCTCAGGGATGCTCGAGGATGCTGCACAATTCTTTGGGATGCTCTAGGATGCTGAAATATGCTCAGGGATGCTCCAGGATGCTGCACAATTCTTTGGGGTGCTCAGGAATGCTCCAGGATGCTGTGGGATGCCCAGGGAAGCTCCAGAATGTTTCAGGGTACCTGGGGATGCTCAGGGATGTTCCAAGATGCTCAGGGATGCTTTGGGATGCTCCAGGATCGTATTGCTGGAGCAGGCACAGTCCAGCAGCTCCCAGGAACCCCCCCAAGTGCAGATGGAGCCGTTTCCTCCCTCACTCGGGTCATGAAATCCAGAGTTTGCAGTGGCTGCAACCACCGGGGGAGCTCCCCATCGTGACAGGGAAAGCCGCCGGGTTCGGGGGATTCCCGTTGTGTTTCCGAGCACTGCCAGATCCTGGATGAGACTCCCACAGTGCTCCTGGAGGGACAGCCCCACCCCGGAGGTCCCGGTGCCCCTCTACCCCCCCCCCAAAAAGGTGACATGCCGTCACCCCCCGCAGACACCTGCGACGGCGACGTGGAGCTGTCGGCTGCGCGGCACCAACCCGAGGGGCTGGAGGAGCTGCAGGCACACACCAAGTTCACCAAGAAAGAGCTGCAGTCCCTCTACCGTGGCTTCAAGAACGTGAGCACAGTGGGTTGGGGCCTCCCCTTGCTTTTGGGGACACCCCCATCGCGGGGCTTCCCGTGGCCATCGCTCTGTCCTCCCCCAGGACTGTCCCAGTGGCCACGTGGACGAGGAGACCTTCACGCTCATCTACGCGCAGTTCTTCCCGCAGGGAGGTGAGTTGGGGGTGCATCACCCCCCTAAAAAGCATCACCCACCCCAAAAACACCCCCCCCAAAATACACCAACCCCACGGGATGCTCTCTAACTGCCCCCTCCCCAGATTCCAGTGCCTACGCTCACTTCTTGTTCAACGCCTTCGATGCGGATGGCAGTGGGGCACTCTGCTTCGAGGTGAGCACTGCTGGGGGGGCGGCACCGTGGGGGGGTGGGGGTGCTCGGCTCTATGCCAGCAGTGTGAGTCATCAGATAGCACTGCTGGCACGAGGGGGAGATGCTCAGGAAGGAGTCGTGCGTGGATTTTGGAGCAGCACCCCCAAAAAACCAACCCGAACCCCGTTGGTCTGAATGCACCCCGAGTGCTGCTGCAGGCCCAGGGCTGCGGGATGCTGCGGCACCGCCGGGCTGTGCGTCCCCAGCCATTAAAAATAGATGGGAGCCAGAATAGAAACGGGATCGATAGGAGAAGTGCCCGTGGTCAATAGCCACGCTGCAGTGCTCTGTGGGGTCCAGAGTGGGGTCATGGCAGCTCCATATAAAACGGGGGATGCTCACCATCGCTGTCCTGTCCACCACCCCCCTGGCAGGACTTTGTCGTCGGGCTGTCTGTCCTGCTGCGGGGCACGGCGCAGGAGAAGCTGAAATGGGCTTTCAACCTCTACGACATCAATAAGGATGGCTGCATCACCAAGGAGGTGCCCTGGGGGACGTCTGGAGGGGGGAGGGGACACCCTTGGGTCAGGGGGGGCTTTGGGAGGGGGGTTCTCCTTGTCAGCCCAGCTCTGTCTGCTCCCAGGAGATGCTGGAGATCATGAAATCCATCTATGATATGATGGGCCGCTGCACCCTGCCTGCCCCGCGGGACAGCGCGCCTGCAGAGCACGTGGAGCAGTTCTTCCAGGTGGGACTCCAGCACAGCACGGGGATGG